ATATGTCCCCTAAATCACTTAAGGTGATGATTGTTTTCTTGACGACTCATTTGTCTTCACATGCTTCATGTTATACTTAAAAACATCTTGTTTTTGCATCTTTGGTTAGGCACCCTTAGAGATGAAATCAAAACGCAGCACTCCACACATAAGACAACTTAGTGTCTCAAGTCTAAGTAGTATTTGCACAACTGACAAATGAGAAGTATTGCATAGACATTTGAGTAAAATATGAAATGCAATTCTTATCGTGGGTCACGCTCAATGAACTTATTTTTCTAGGCAAGCACCTTCATTTTAGTTCCAAGTATCTCTATACTTAAACTTATGAGATCCGTTGCTTACTTCTCAAATAAGAAACATAGAATATATTAGTTTCTAGATATCATTGATGTCAAAACTCAATGATACATCGACCTGAAACATTTAAAGATTATACTTTGATACATAAGGATCTCATAACTGCAAGCCGTTATAGTTCCATTGCAAGACATATTAATCTCATGAACTTCATCTAATTAGACACATAACCTATTATAATTAACGTCTTATTGATGAAAAAAAACCTCTAATCATTCAATATGAATGATATTATTGCATGATTGAAATTAAGCTTTAACCAATCTCAATTGGCTGCAAGGCTCATCCCAATAGTGCCACCCCATAAATCATGAGATAGATATGCAAACCATTTTGTTGTGTGAATAAGGAGCACTTTTTTGATGTATTGAACCATGTTCTTTATAGAAATGATCAAATTCTGTAAGAAAATATTCTCCTACTCCATCACTTCTTATAACTTTTTAATTTTCCACAACAAATTGATATTCTTTAAATTTATGAAAAGCTTCATATTTTGTTTTAATTAAATACATAAGTGAACTTAGAATAATCATTTATGAAAGTTATAAAATATCTTTGTCCTCTTCTAGTTAATTTTTCATTTAATTCACATATATCAGAATACACAAGATCTACTAATTGTGAGTTTCTTTCTACACTACAAAAAGATTTCTTTGTCATTTTTGCTCATATGCATGTTTCTCATTTTTCTAAATACTCATATTTGCATGCAATATAACCATTTTTAAACATAAATCTAATGGAACCAAAATTTAAATGTCCTAGTTTAGCATTCGATAATAAAGAATTAAACATAACAGCACAACTAGAAATCATATTTATTTCATTAAAGCTAAACTTGTACATGCCAACACAAAAGCATCCTTTTCCTACAAATAGGTCACTTTTGGATACTATTACATTGTCAAATTCTATTACAATTTTAAATCATTTCTTTGCAAGCAAACTAGTAGAAGCTGAATGCTTCCAAATTTCAAGAACATGGAATACATTTAGTAATGTCAACTTCTGTCCAAAAGTGAATTTCATTTTGATAATTCCTTTTCCTTCAACTTTGGCTATAACATGATTTCCCATTAAAATATCCTCTACTTTATTAACTTCCATGTAAGCCTTGAATAAGTTTCATTCATTGCATATATGAATTGTAGCATTGGAATCCAACCTCCAATCTTTACTTTTATTGGAACCATCAATCATATTCAATTCTATTATCATTCCAATATTCATTTTAAAAACCATGCAACTAATTTCTTGACAACCTCTTCTATTACGTTTATTTTTTTAGGATTTTTAGAACCATAATTCTTTCCTGCCTTCCTTGATCTGCACTTATTCATCATATGGCCTTTCTTTTCATAGTGAAAATAATTTATATTTTTCTTTTCTTTTTTCGTAAAGTCCATTCTTAAAACTTTCAGTGCAAATGACTAGCATTTCATAAAATTGTTAGAGCTCTAATTCTTTTCAAAATTATTGAAATTTTGACTCACAAGATTCACATTAGAATTGTTCTACTGATATAGAATCAACAGAATATAGAACTTTCCTTTTATAATTATTCCAAGATTGAAGCAGTTTAGAAAGAATTGTACCTATTTGTAGTGCATCAGGAACCTTAACTTCAAGGTCTTTTAGTTTTGAAACTAAAACTTATAATTCATGTACTTGATCCATTATAGGCAGAATGTCACTTATCTTAAACTCAAAATATTTAAAGGACCAAACTTTGTTAGTACTTTATTTTTTGTTTTTATAAGTAGTCTCCAAGGCTCTAAAAAGAACTTAAGATTAAAGAAAAAGTCATATAGACGATCTGTCAAAGCGTTTAGGATATGTCCATAGCATATCAATTGTTCTTTTTCATGTTTTTCCTTTTTTATCTTTTATGCATCAATATCTTCATCAGTTGGTTTTGGAAGTGTAGTAAGATTCAAATCTAAAACATAATAACTCTTCAACGTTATAAGTAAAAACACCATTTTATCCCTTCAGCAAGTGACATTGATTCTATCAAACTAGTCATGTTTGATGAATTCTTGATTCATGAATTGAAATCTTGAATTTGGATTAAACTCCATTGATAACAATTGTTAGAAAAATAGTGTAAAAAAAGAAGAAAAAGGTTTGAGACGTGCTGTAATACACTGCTTTTAAAAAGTTGTTGCCTACTATAGGGATTTATAGATAAGGACTCTTTAGGATACAACTAGACTATTGTAGAATGTTTTTGAAAAATGAACTCTGTCTTGAAAATATGTTTCTTTTATCGACATTGAAAAGTTATGTTTGTGTTTTTTCAACAAATGTGTTTAGTGGTATGTCTGTTGTGTTTCAACAGATGTGTCTACTGAATAATTTTCAATATTCGTGTTTGTTGAAAACACTTCTCTTAGTTTAAGAGTTATATTTAATCTTAAACAGTCACATCTGAATAAGACTTCTAATATTACAAACTATCTAATATTAACCAACCTAGCTAGCACTTTATAAAGGGTAGAGTAATCCTAATCCTTGTGAAGGATTTTCGAAGATCAGTGGTGTGGACTTTCATTACAAGCTGCACAAGAACCTATTAAACAGCTTTGGTTTGCTACAACCGATCTCAATGTGAAGTCAATCAAAAGGTTGTTTGGGTATTTGGGTAAAAGATTTATCTTTCTTTATCTCTAAGGTAATGATTTATGATCATATGCTTGTTGCAAGATTGCTTAATCACATTCAAAAAGGCCATTGAAACTAACCTTGGGTGGGTGAGGGTGGTTTTCTATGTTTTATTTTGTTTTCGCTGCGTTGCTTTTTTTTTTGTTTCGTTGAGATGCATGGCTGGCATTCTCCTTTCACAAGGCATACCATTGTCCTCATTGTGAAAAGTGAACATGTGACCAACAATATGGTTAAGAACTTTAACCATTGGATTACACTTGTGAGGACTAAACTTATTCTATCTTTGTTTGAAGAAATTAGAGTCAAGATAACAAAGAGGCTTTATGATCGGTCTAAAAAGGCAAGCACATGGGAGGGGTATGTGACACTTAAAATTAAGAAAAAGTTATTTTTTGCCTAGTATAGTGGTAGGTTTTGTAAAGTTGTGCCTGCCTCGAATAAGTTTGGAATGTTTTAAGGTGGTAGGACACATGCCATCAACTTGGGCGTGAGTAGGGTAACTTGTCCATGTGGTGTTTGAAATATTTCAAGTAAAGGAGTCTCAACATATTTGATGTATATAATGATTGGTTGCATATTTAAGGGTTTACTAATCTTATGTTTGGTTGCATTTTAGCTATTCTTTATAAGCATGCAGCAGCTTGCATAAGTCACAATAAGGGTGATTTAGGGTAGTATTGTGACAAGTACTATTTTGAGGAGAAGTTCATGCTAGCACTCAATGACTACATTCATCTGATACTTGACATCACCATGGTTGAATTCAAAAAGAAGGTAGATCTAAGGGATCCTCCATTGCACCATTGTTTGCCTAACAAGCGTAAGAAAAACAGAAGAAAGGAACTCAGGGAAAGGCTAGCTAGACATGGTAATGCTATGAGGAGTAACACTGTTAAGTGCACCTTATGCCCCACACTTGGTTCTAATAGAGGGTGATGATTCTTATTTGGGACAAATAGAACCGGTGCACCTTATGCCCCACACTTGGTTATAATAATGATATATATCCCAAATAATGATTGTTCTTTGTTCATACTAGCCATATGAAGTCTTTGGCTAAGGCAACTTGGAGCTTAGGAAAGAAGTTTCCCATGCTTTAAATAGAACTGGTGGTGAAGCCTAAAAGAACTAGCATAAAATGATATAAAAGTAGACTCTGTACCATGCTCTTATTTCTTTTAGGATATACGTGATGAGGGATTGAATTACACTAATAGACTGCACATTGAAAGGTTGTCAAAAAACCTTTTGACTCTTTTAACAATTGGGTAACAATGATGTGTTGATAGATACTGCTCATGGTCATTGTATTCAATTAGTAATCTTAAGGTCACTTACATTATAATTGAATACTATTGCCAACATGTGTTGTTAGGTAATATTATTTTCAGAATATTCAATTTATTTTAATTGCATTAAAACACTAAAGAGATCCATGGAATACAACATAAGAAATTTCGATTTTAATTTTATTCATTAATTTCGTTATATGTGTGATTCAATCACACTCTTATGTCGTTTTCTTCCGCGGCCTCTGCCTCGATCAAGAATTCTAATAGTACTAGAAAGACACAAACAAGTGTCTCTAACAATAATATAATGTTCTAGAGTTTTTTGTGGTGTTTAGATGGATGGCGAGATTGTAACTGACAATGGATGTTTTGTATTATTTTATCTTTATTTATCTATCATTATCTAGAAATTAAGAATAAAGGCTTAACTTCTTTATTTGTCTGTCATTATCTAGAAATTAAGAATAAAGACTTAACTTTGACATTGGGTTGGTTGATAATAGTCCAGATTCTGATTTAAAGAAGACAAAGAAACTTGATGCAATCATTATTTGGCATATATATATCAGTGCAAAGAAAATAACACTTGTTTGAAAAAAGGTCTTTTACGTTAACTCAAATATCTCTTGTTATGTTTAGTCCATTCAATAAATCGATTAGTTCCAAGTGACCAGTCGCTCCATCTTGAGTAGAATATCCCTTTTTACGGGAAAGTAAATCTCGGGTAAAGCTAACTAGTTGCCAAACCCCTAACAAGCTTATTTTCTCTACGAAAAGGAAATAAGGAAGAAACCTGCATTTTATATATTTACTCTTCAAAATCTCGCCCCAGCCATTCTTGTGAGGATCAGAAGCTGACTCATAATGGCTACCGCCAATTCCGTTGTTCGATCGCCAAAGGCCCCACTCTCTGGAAAATTCACGTTCTCCGATAAAAAAACAACGCTACCCGTCCACATCCCCCAATTTCCTCCACAACGCCGCCGTTTCACCCCTCTTTCCGCTTCCCTCCACGACAGCGAGAATAACAACGGAAGCCATAAGAACGCGCAGGCCGTTGAGTTGGAGAAGCTTTTCGACGATGCCCCATACGACGACGTCTCTAAAGACTCCCCTTTGCATCCCAGTATGAATATCCCTGGCTTACCCCTCCTCCCTTCTTTCTCAACTTTAGGGTGTATTATATTTGTAAATACTGCAGTTTTACGTGGCCTATATTGTCATTTTCTTCAGGGCCACTTTCTTCAACCCAGTTTTCTAATTCGGTCTCCAATGGCAATCGCCTTCGCGTTGCATATCAGGTATTTTATTCATATTTATCTGTAACAAATTATATATATATATATTTATTAATATTTTTAGTTTCGGGGATCTGGTCAATGGTTACATTTTAAAATTTTACTATAATTCAATGAAACTGATTGTTTGATTGATTTGTGCTGAATTACAAGGGAGTTCGTGGCGCCTACAGCGAAGCAGCTGCTGAGAAGGCCTATCCCAATTGTGAAGCTGTTCCTTGTGATCAATTTGATGCTGCATTTCAAGTAATTACTGCAATTCTTTTTCAGTCGTTTTGATTAAGACATAGTGTTTATATAGGAAAATGAGGTTGATTTTGAATGCGTGAGCAGATATGGTTAGTCTTCTTTAGGATCCTGATTTTATTTTATTTTATTTTATTTTTAATTAGGCTGTTGAAAAGTGGCTAGTGGATAGAGCGGTATTACCAATTGAGAATTCCTTAGGTGGTAGTATTCATCGAAACTATGACCTCTTGCTTCGTCATAGCTTGCATATTGTTGGGGAAGTTAAGCTTGCAGTTCGTCATTGCTTACTAGCCAATCATGGTGTTAAAGTTGAGGACTTGAAAAGGGTTCTTAGTCATCCTCAGGTATGATGTAACATTTAACTTTCTTGTTGACTAAGTTCCTCTTGTTGTTTTTGACGAAATACCTTTTTCCTGAATTCGATGGTGTTTCAGGCTCTATCTCAGTGTGAGAACACTTTAACTAAGTTAGGATTGGGTAGAGAAGCAGTGGATGATACTGCCCTTGCGGCAAAGGTGAGTCTTGATTTGGAGCATAGATTTGATTTGATATGACAGATTTTGTACGCTTTGTCACTGCATGTGCAACTTAAATTACTTGATGTGCTTTCATTGTCTGAGCATGCTAGATGGATCTTATTTTTCCTCTCTGTTTTTTTTTTTTTTTGTTTGCTTTCAACTGCTATAGCAATACATATGGGAGGTAGGCAGGAGCCACTTTATCCAGTGCTAATTCAGGTGGCTTCCTTGGTGATCCTAACGTGATCAAATAACATTTTATTCTATTGTGTGGATATAGCAAAGATATGGAATTTGGATTAAATGATTGCATTTGGAGTTAATTGCTGCTATTGCATGAGTAATATGTAGAATGTGGTATGTAGTATATTGGCTGATTTACTGTGCTGTTAATATGTAGCATGTGGCTTTCCACAAACTAAATGATACAGGAGCTGTTGCAAGTTCTTCAGCTGCAACAATATATGGACTGAACATTCTTGCTCAAGATATTCAGGTTTAAGTTGATTTTTGTCTCCTGATTAATGGTTTGGTATTGGATATTTGTCAGAATTTGAATTTTGGTATGCCTCCCCTTTCTGACAGGATGATTGTGATAATATTACTCGATTTCTAATGCTGGCAAGGGAACCTATTATTCCTGGCATTGAGAGGCCATTCAAGGTTAGCCCTTCAATTCAACCACAGAAAACTATTTGTAGGTCAAAGTATTTGGTCATATTTGTTTCATTGTTATGCTGCATTTGTTAGTCATTGTTGCTCTTGAAGTTGTTCTGATGTTTGAGAATTATTACGCAGACAAGTATAGTTTTCTCATTAGAGGAGGGTCCTGGTGTTCTTTTCAAGGCACTTGCTGTTTTTGCTCTTCGACAGATCAACCTTACAAAGGTATTGGTTTCCTGTGGATTTTCAAGTCACTTTGAAAAGCTATGTCTTGCAAGGTTTTTTTCTCAGTTGTATTAACATTCTTCATATATTGTTTCCTTTGATCAGATTGAAAGTCGTCCCCTAAGGAACCAGCCCTTGCGAGCATCCGATGATAGCAACAATGGCTTAAAGTAATTTTAGTGAAATATCAATTGCATTTGTCTTCAAAAATGAAGTGAAAGATCGGTTAAAAATGTTTTTAGTAAAAATAATAAATTAATTACACTTTTATTTACTTCTTACTACCAATCATTTGGGTCACTCAAACATATTTCATCCTGATAGCACCAATGTCTTTGAATAGATATTTTGATTACCTTTTCTATGTGGACTTCGAAGCTTCAATGGCTGATCCAAGAGCACAGAATGCCCTAAGACATCTAAAGGTGGATTGCTCTGCCTCTTCCATGACCTTCCAAGGGAATTAGATGTTAGATATCTAACAATATGTTTTGTTGGCAGGAGTTTGCAACATTCTTGCGAGTTCTAGGAAGTTATGCAGTGGACACTACCATGACATGAACGAGTTGTTGACCATGGTAAGAATTCTACTTTGAACAGACCTTTTGGGTTAATTGATGGCAGGGTTCTACCTCTATAAGATGATGCAGTGGCAGAATGTTGCTAGGTCATTACCATTTCATAAAATTTTGCATAGAACTTTACTCAAATACTGTCTAAAGTGAGGTTGCTGGGACCTGATGTCGTTGAGGATTTAATAAATCTAAGACAATTTTGAATCTCTTGGGAAGAAGATTATTTGGGTTATGCCAGTCTGCTCTAATTGTTTAATGAAAATTTTGTTACTGATTAACCAGGGACATAATCACTGTAAGCCATTAATCATAGTCTACCAATAATAATGATAAGAATCCATTCTTTTTAAATTGGTAGGCAGCATTGGGAAAGGGTACGTTTTAGAATTTGGCTGGAGGCCGGAGGGCGGGAGGCAGAGGGAATACAGTAGTATTATTGTTGCAATTAAGCAGCAATCTGGAATTTCAAATTGTTATCTTTCTGTAATTGGCTTGGATTATGCATGGCAACCTTGTAGGATGATCTGGATCATCTGAATTACAAGAAATGCTGCCATTGCATATTTATTGATCAGGCTATTGTTGATTCATGTTCATTCAGTCAGTGGTGGATGCTTGATATGTCATGCTTTAACATAAATGAATGTGCCTAGGACAAATGATGATTTCCGGGTTTTTGTCCCTCAATCAATATTGTCTTGTGGAAGATAGTGCTGCTGGGTCTCTAACATGTGAAGCTTCAGATCTGAGACACTTTTATTCTTTTTTCTGATGGCTGCTAGAGGCTACCTCTTTGTTGTTGTTATCATTGGATGACCCTAAAGCTAGCTTGAAATAGAAGATGTTTTCCCTCACATTTGTTTAATAAACATAGGCCTCTAGCTTGAATTTGAACACAATATTCAAAGATAATTTTGCTACATTCAAGAATGTAGTTTGGATCCATAAATGACAAACACAAGTTTTGACCTCAAAAGTATCTAGCCACCTTATTTGTGTTTGAGTTGTGTTTTTTTTTTAAGTTTTGGGGCAAAATAAGCATTTTTATTGTGATTGGAACCTAAACACGCTTTTGGGAAACACAATTCCAAATTTAGCTTTGGTCAACTCAGTTTGATTGTCTATTACACAGGTGACTACTACCTTATTAACAATGTAGTCTGTAATTACATCTTAGCTGCAGACGTTTGCTCTTTTGCTAAAATTAGACTCACTATGGTATGAAGCAGATGTGAGCCTTAGTACATTTATATTCCAGATGGATGTTAGGGCATATTGTTGTTTATTTCTTGGGCTTGATGCATGTGGAGAGTGGTGGAGGAGTTTTCTTTCTGTTCTTGGTTCCAGCTTGCATTTTTATTAAGGCTAAGTTGAGGAGAAACATTGTCTTTGTTCAAACTCTTCTTAGTAAGTTCATTTTATATCTATGCATATTGTGGAGAGCAACTCAAGGGAAATGTCAAGTTAAATGTGATTATGGAGATAGTGGCAAGACTAAAGATATCAATTATAGTTTCAGAATACTTCCCTATAGGGAAGATTATTTCTGTACTCTATGAACGGTCCTGATCCCACTGGAAACAAGGAGTAAGAACCAACCAAATTGTTTACCCTACTAATGAGTTGCAAATTCACCTCCTCCCCTGGTGCCTGTATCTTCCTAGTTCTCTCAATTACTTGACGGACATGGTAGTTGTTGCTAGTTGTTTCCTTTCCTCTTTTTTTTTTTTTTTTTGCCTTCCGTTTTCTTGTTTTAGATTTCTGTCTTAAGTTCAAAAGCCTTTGAATTTTTCATGATTCTGTTAGAAAACTTTGCCAAGTAATATGCATGGTTAAATGGTGTAAATATGCTTCTATTACCTTTGATTCAAGCATTTGGTGAGCTTTTGTTTCTTACACTTTGATAATGCTGATGCAGGACTCAGTATGAAGTATCAATGTTAAATGGATCAAAATTTTACATTGCACAGATATGGTTACTCACTATACAATGGTTGCATTTTTTTGGTATATAGAAAAGACGCTGCAATTAATAGCCAAGCCATTGCACTGCAATGGAGGAATGCTGACAAAAAATCACTATGGGCAGTCTGGCCTATGACATTTTGTAATTAATTTATAGTAGTTTTTAACAAATGGAGTGAGTCTCCTATTCGTTGCTTCTAAATTTCTTGAGAAATGGGGACTGGGTTTTTGTCTACTTCCTTGTTTTTGTTCTCATTCAGGTCCCTTTCATTTGAGAACTACTTTGAGGTTAGAGAAATGGTAATTAACTTTCTTCCGGCTGGCAACAGTCTCTTACTCTAGTGAATGATAAAAATTTTCCATACTAAAACCCAATGGGTTCTAGTTTAGAATTTAAAACCGTAATTGCGATTCTTTTTGAATCAAAGGGTACGGAGACATATTATAATAAATAAATAAAGAAGCAGAGGATTACTCTGGCGAATGAAGAACATCTCGTACTCATCGCATCACAGGATTAAATTCGACACGTGAAACACTGTAATGTTGAAATCATTTGGTTATTAAATTGCCAACTAAGGTGGATGGATGATGGGTCGAATCCATATGATTTCACCCTCTATGTTTTGTGTTCTTAGATAACTTGAAAATGCTGTATATGCATTGGAGGGTAGACTAGGCGGCAGGAATCTGACAGACAACTACATCAGAATTTGGGCAGAAAAATCAGGTCTACCTCCACAAAAGCAACCACATTTATGAGATGATCGGTGGGGTTAGTACCTGATGGTCCAGCCCCCACCCCAATCCCAACTGACAGCTGCAAAATGCATGCCAGGGACTGCCAACAACAGTGACACCATTTCATTTCATGCCACATACAATGTAATGTCGTAAATTAGTTGCATTGTAACATCAGGAGTTTTTTTTCAAACTCTAGCCTTTATCATATCATAGACTTGGAGGTGCCCAACCACCTGCCCCCTGCCCTGCCTGCCTTCATCGAGTGCTTGGCCACTGGCCAATCCAAATTCAAGATTGTTTGTGGTCCAACCCATTCTCGATTTTGACTTGGGATAATGTCTCAAATACTCTCTCCCCAACCTTCTTTCATCCCCCCTTCTACTGATGTAATTTCCTTCTCTATATAATATACATTGATGCAAATGTAGAGGAACCCTTCAGCTTTCATTTGGGTCTTCTAGCCTCAAAAAATTTAATCTCCCCTTGCTGTCTTTTTCTGGACTGAAATTTGGCCCCTGCTTTATTAGATGCATTAATGGTATTCAGTATTATGTTATTCCATCACTTTTGTAAATAAAGGTGGATGCATGTGTATACCTTCAAATAAACTTGAAGTGATCTATATATCTATTCCCTGTTTCCCCATTTCAAAGTCTTGTTGAACGTTTTTCTCAGATACAACTTTTACTCATTATCAACAGAAAAAACTTACTCAAATGGCTGTGTTGAGCATGAATGCTTAAAGACAATTCCATTTTCATTCTCTCTCAAGACAAACCGAACTATTCCCAAGTCCTACAAGAGTTTTGAAGCTATTCTATGGGTCTATTCTAACAAACCTTTTATACCACAAAGGCATGTTGCTTCAATGCAATTTTTTTATTTCAGTTTCATGATTAATCTTCTCAAAATTCCTCGACTACTAAAAATTTGATTACCCTATACATATTGCACATGTCATTCTCATGCTATGCTCCACAACTCATGGTTCCAATTGCACCTGTCAATAGTGATTTCAGCACAGAATATTACCAACTAGAATTTGAGATCTTAGATTGCATTTCCGACTCTCCATTAGCTCATGATCCTCCCCCATTTCCCGTTAATCATTTTTACTGCCATCCATCATAAAAAGAATTTTAAAAAACTTCATTCCAATGATACCATTTTCAACCGTTCAAACCCTTTCAAATGCAAGATTAAATAGAATCCAATTTCAAAATAAACTGTCATCTTTAAATTGAAGTAGGCCGTATAGTATTTTGAAAGTGGATAAAAAATAAAATAATCTCTTGTGATCGTGAAAACCCATGATGGTGTTATACGCATATTTCAAAAAAAAGGTCAAGAGGAAATTAACTCGTGGACTAAACCTATTTGTAGCATCCCAAAACATGAAGTACTAGTAACATAGAGGCTCTAACACTTGTTCTAGGGTTTAGCCCACTAATTAAGTTGTACCTCTAATCTCAAAGTCTAGTTCCCTAGACACAATTAAAAATTTAAAATATAATACTTCATTCCACATGTAATAATGTGAAACAATTGTTAAGACTCGTAAAATATAGAGAAATAAGTAAATTCAGGTGTCCAAAACACAAGTATTTACACTTTCTTTTCCTTCTCCTCTCTTGTCATCTTCACCTAAAAGTTTCTTTTCCTTACTTCTTACGAATTGCAAGAGTCGTAAATATGAAGTTATAGCGGGATTGATTCCCACCCTATGAATTTAGTTCAAAATTGCCGACAATGGCTCAATTCGTGTGTAGCTTTTCCTAACACATGCCCCCACACTATTACCTAAGCATAGCTGACACCGCCATACTTCTATAACCTTAGCTCTTTAGCCATCTTTAACTAGGACTCACAAGGATCGCCCTCGGATCTTCAAAGTGCCAGAATGTGAAGCATGTGCATGCCCAGGTTGATGAAAATCAAAACATTAATTGTTCCCTGTCAAAACCAAATGGAGTATTACTCTTTAACATTATCCTGTCTTCCCTACACCTATCAGCTTGTATGGGCACGTATAAGTTTACTGTTTGAAGGTTTCGGATTCCAGTATTGAGTTAAAAATTTCTTCACATGTGTTAGCTGCAAAGCTTTAATTTGCAAGTTCCCACCATGTTTCCACGACTTGGGTTGGGTGCATGCATTTATCAAGCCTGGAAGCACAACAAGTAGTGGCATACGTTACCAATTAGGGTTGAGTTGCTCTTTATATATGGAGTGTTACACTAGCAATTCCCATTGCCATACCCAATAATTTGATATAACGGATGTTTGTTTGCAAGTTACAAACAACACCAACTCCGTTATTGGATCTCTCTGTTCTTATCCACAAACGATGACAAAATCAAATCCGTTACCGAGCATGACCTTGACGTCCTTGTTTCTCCTACCCGTGCCTCGCGTGATACTACTCATACTCCTCTCTTCTCTCACGTGCCCTAATCAACTCCCCATCCATCTCTTTTTAAGAAGAAAATAATTTTCGATTCTAGTTTATATATGTCCCGTCAAAAGTTCGTGATGATTGTTACAAATTCAAGACTAAAGTTAAACTTACGTAATATACATGTATATATTAATCTATAGAAATCATATTAAATCTTTATACATAAATATTAAAATTGACCAGGCGTGATATATGTTTTTCTTTGTTTTCTTCTTTCCATTTATACTATATATATACCCACAAACAAACAAAAAAAGATCAAGAAGAAGGAGGAGAAAGATTATGCTTTGCTTGATGAGGAGAAGTGAGAAGTGGGGTCCATGAAGAAGAAGAAGAAGAAGAAGAGGGCCAAAGGGGTATGTGGCAGTTTCTAGACAGTGGATGATGGGGGTGGTGGAGTGATGTCGTCAGACGCTGGCGATTTGGTTTATATGTTTCTTTGGCTGTCCATTCATTCAAAAAATAAAAAATGTATGTTCATGGTTTGGACGACGATGATGATGATGTCGTTGGGCTTGGAGTTTTGGGGTTCGGATTGAGGTTGCTTTCTCTAAAACTGAAATATTCGTCTCCTAGCCGCATTCTCTCTGCCACGTGTTCGTCTTACAATCTGGCATCGGGTCATTTTAGGGGTCCACTTCCACCGACCAATCCCCCCTGTCTTGTCTTTCTTTTTTTGCTTTTGCCCCCCCCCCCCCCGCCCCCTTCTCTCTCTGTCCTCGTGTCGTTTTTTTTCCAAGGAACGATTCGAGCATTACTACGAAGTGGCACTAAGATTGATTTTCTTATGTCTTAGTTTTAGGGTTTGATTTCGACACGTTCACACTTGAGACAGACTCAACTCAATTATGAATTCATTTAAGAGCTATTAATTAATTTAATCCATCACCTTTAAAATAGTTTTTTAATTGATTCAAGTTCTTTGACCGTCACTTATCATGACATGGCACACTCATTAAATATTTTTTTTATTTTTTTCTTTTATGTTAAGAAAGATCTATTCTTCAAAAAGATATAACATAAATGTATTATATATTTTTTAAAAATATATAATTTATATATATATATTAAATGTAGTACAATTAAAACCCAACACAATAAGAAAACATTACACAAGAGAGCATTAAGGACATTTATATCGCCCAATTAACAATACTACACAATTCCCTCGTATCAAGAACAACGGAAACTCATTCCCTTAGTCCTAGGCAACAAATATCCAAACAAAAAAATTTGTATTATGATTGGAACAAATATGAACACCTTGACCTTGTGTAATATTGGGTCTGGATTGGTAATGATTATTATCCACAAGGAGAGGTCATAGGATTCAGAGTTTCATTTTCCTCTCATTAAACTTTATCGAATGTACCAAAAAAAAAACCGTTCTGAAAAGGATGGACGACTATGCTCTTGGAAATATCTGTAACTGGAAATGATGTTTATGGGATCAATTCACTACATCTTGTGTGAAGAATTGATGAGCTGCCATGGAAGCCATGCATTTGGTGGCATACACCACTAACCTTCCAAATTCCAATATTGGACAAGTTAGGGAGATCCCATATGCCTGCAAGTTAAGAAGCCGTCCCGAGTAGAATTCAAGAGGCTTGAAAGTTGGAAACTGCCAAAAAGTCTTGTTCTAAGCAATGGTACTATTCTTATGGATCAACTAGACCAGCACACCAGTTTAGACGAGAATTTTCATAGTATGCCATAGAGATTCTTTGGAGTGGGAATGCTGGATTCTTTTCTTCACGGAAGATGCTACCATCCATGTCTATCAGGCACAGTTTTCTATTCTACTTTCACTTTTTTTAAAAATAATTATTTTTTATTATTCAGTGTGTTCTTTGACTGATATAAATTTGACCAGTCAACTAACCTCAGTGATCCCTATGATGTATCCACTTGTCCCACCATAGCTCTCCCCCCTGCCCCACCACAATCTTTGCCCCCCAAGCCCCAATGTACTTTGTGATCATCAAATTATCCCACTAATTACCAAACTTAACTTATTACTAATTCATAGAATGTAAATATTCTTTTATGTATTATCCTCATACTATTTATGTGTAATTAAATAACTGTGGGATAAAATATTATCATCATATTCCATATTTTGTTTACTAATTTTCTGGTTTCTAACATTGGGCATAGCCAAAGCAAAATTTTCTGATAGGATCCAATTAAAGTATATCAGAAGTGGGGAGCAATCATTGTTTGTTTATTATTTCCCAGCTTCTGACAGATGATGACAAGTTAGAATTTTGGTTGGTAACATTGATTTTCTCGCCAGTCCAAGAATCTTGGCCCATAAATGGAAAAATTAACAGGGAAAAAGAAAAGGTATAGCTATGGCTAGATCTTGAATATCTTAACCATTTGATCTTTCTTTGATTGACTGATCATCATTCTCCAGTGGATTGCATGTGGATTGTAAGCGTCTCTTCTTTTTGGCATACACAATTCATCTTTTAATCATTCATTTTGTTGGTGCAATCTCTTTCCAGTGTCTTATTTTCCTTTTAAAAAATGACTACCAGTCGACTACAGGCAGTTAAATAGGATTGGCGTTTTACATATTCTTAGATTAATTAAAGCCATTCCATTTCCCATGTGACAAACAAATTCACATATATATATATATATATAAATTATAATTAAAAATTCAATCCATAGAGTGAGGAATTGCTCGTTTGAGCTACTGTGAGCAGAAAAAAAAATAATTGCATGTAATTAATAAATGTGAAGCTACCGAGGTAAATCACATTAACACAAATGTGTGGAGTCTCCAAATGAAAGCCAAAAGAACTACACTCAAACAGACAAAAGAGGATAAGATTCCGAGCAAATGCAATAAATAAGTTGTGTGATTTGAGCTCAAAAAACGTGGCAATTTTTGAACCAGACCATTCTATAATTAAGCTATATTGACCCTAGGTAGGCTTAAAAATAATGATGTTGTGGACCAACTTAATGGAGTTAGTTTGTTGATGAGTTATCTGTTTAATCCAACTCCTACATTTAAGACCACAACTCTTAAGTTAGTTTGTTGATGGTATTATCTTGTCGTTTCCCAATTTAATTATGACAAAGGTTTGATTAAGGTGATTGTTGACCAAACATGCTTTGATACATATAAGTATAGCTTGTCCTCCTTGAGATATATAGTAACATCTTATAAATCATAGCATATACTTAATTACACCACAGGAAAATTTTGGGGTTGTTCTTTTAAATTTTGTTCTGTTACTCAGTGTTCAAACTGTTTTAAATTTCAAAAATCTAGAATCTTATGATACATTTGGTTCGGAAAATGAAATAGAATAAAATAATTATTTTATGAAAATAGAATAAAATGATTATTATGTGGTTTGGTTCATGTAATGAAATAAATTAAAAATTGTTATTATAATTCATTTTGATGTTTAGTTGGTAAGTATAGTTTTAGAATAGTTAAGGAGTAAATGATAAAGTGATAAAATTACCTTTTATTATAATTTAGTAAATTAGACAAAATTACTCATTACTATAATTTAATAATATTTTTTCTTTTTTAATCTTTTAATTTGTTTCATTAAAATTTAAAAATATTAATAATTTATTTTTAAATTATTTAGATATTTTTTCTTTCATTTTTTATTTTTTCTCTACTTTTATTAAAAATTTAAACATTAATAATTTATTATTAAATTATTAATATGATTTTTATTTTAACTTTTTTTATTTTCATTTTTTATTTGTAGATCATAATTATATTCAGTAAACAGGGACATTTTTATCTAATAAATTTTTGACTCTATTCCATAGTCATGGAATAGTCATTAACATGGGGAGGTGGAGAATGGCTAAATCAAGATTTTGGGAAATAGCCATTACTTGGAATGATTATTCCTTACCTCAAAAATCAACCAAACTAAAGAATAAAAATGTAAAAGGAATAAGAAGGAAATGACTTAGCTATTCTCCCATACCAAAGGTGTCGTTAATCTTAATAATAACAGTGTCTACATGTATATTCTTAAAGAGTACACTTCAGTAATTAAAATTTTGAATTTCCAAATTGAAGATCTTGGATTTAAATTTTAAAATGGGGGAATAGGATTTATAAAATAAAAATTTTATGTAACTCAAAATCGTATGTATAGGTTAGGACATGAGACATGAAATTATTCGATATGTACACATAGCTTTTCATCTCTAATTAATAATGTGATAATAGGATTTTTTAACAGGGACTTATATTAACAAATGAAGGTAAAAAACAAGCCACAAATTAACTACACCTAAAACTGTTCTTTCATATATATATATATATATATATATCTTCTTAGCACCTAAAATTGAATGTAAATCTCAAACATAAAGTTTTTTTGCCTTAGTAACTAGTATTTGAGTATTTCATACATAGATAAGATTGAAAAAGTAGAGGAGATTAACTAAATATCTCAAAATCTAGTCTAAAGAGTGTAGAATGGTCTGATTACTAGAAATTTGAAGGTGAGAGAGACTATACACAAAAGAAAATGTTCCAAAATGGACCACATGTGAGGCAAGGTGGGGAAAAGCAAACTCTTTGGTGGGCTAGCTAGCAGGTGCTGTAATGTTTCTGCAATGTATTATACCATTCATCATGCAATGAAGATGGAAGATCCCCCTGTAATGGTCTCCAATGTTTCCCTGCTCCTGTCCCCAGCCATCATTATAAGTCCACATCATCAGAACCTTCAACTAACACAAACACATAAACTATTGAAATCACAATAAAAACCAATTCCGACTACTGGACCCCACCACCAGTCCATTTCCACACACACCCAAAAAAAAAAAAACCCTAAACTTGTGTAGATTTCTGTATCTATGTCTATCTATACCTACCCATTTCTTCAATCCTTAAGAACAACTTGCCCTATTGCATATGGGTGTGCGTTTTCATTGCCTGTTTTTCTTTTTAAATGAATAATCTAGATATTCTATGTATGTGGAGGTGGCTTAGGGTTTAAAGTTTAGCTAGGACTGTAAATTAACAAATTAAAAGTGTACAAAACTCGATTCAATTTTATTCAAACTCATTTATTAACCTCAATAAAAACATCAATTAAAGAAATTAATTTTGATACGGATTCAAGTTTGAGTATATAGGTACTTAGCTCATGAATGAATTAATGCTTTAATGGAACCCAAAAGCAACTTGGGTACAAGTTTTACCAAATATTACTTAATATAGTGACTTTAAACTTTAGGATACTCATTATCAAAATCTAATGACAATTAGCAAATCAAACTATTAAGGTGTAACAGTTATTACTATTTTAGTGTAACTTGCTTTTATAATAATATATAATATATTGTTGCAAAGGTGTAATTGGAAATTTTGAATTATAATCTCATAAAGATACGAGTTCAATGAATTAATTAATAAGTTTGTATATTTATAATTAAATAACAAAGTTAATAAATTCAAATATATAAACATATATGAATATGATACAAGTTATTAATCATACCTTGGATAACTTTGATGAGTAATGTATAGGATAGTAAAGTATTAATCGTCACATTCTGACTTAATGTAAGTATATAAAGTTAATTTGCAATGGTCTTTGGTTTTTTTTTATTAGAGAAAAGAAAAAGACATGGTTGCTTTTTATATTTTGCTGATCTTTTTGGAACACGAGGTTTATGCTAGTGTTTCATGTTTTTGTGTGTACGAGTGATCGGAGTTCTCAGAGTTTATGCTGCTGAGGCCATGGGAGAGAGAGAGAGAGAGAGGGTGGTGCTTGCCGCTAGCTGCTAGCTGCTGGTGGCTGATGGTGGTGGAAATGGTGGTGATGGTAGGTGGGGACCCCAAGCCCATGGACCCCACCGTATAGTTGCATCCACGCGAGAGAGGGTCCCACAAAAGACAAGGCACCCAGGGGGGCTAGGTTTTTCTTTCTGGCGCTCTCTCTCTCTTTCTCTTTCTCTTTGCCTTTTTCTCTCTCTTTCATAATAGTAGCACTAATAATAAGAGTCCGTTGCAGAAGAAGAAAAAAGATTTTTGGGATGACTCCAATTCTTCTTTTCTTTTTATATTTTTTTAAAGAAAAAACTTATGAAAGCTTTCTCTGCGTGCAAGCCAATCACATCCATCATCTCGTACGGGAAACTCATCATTACACTATCTCTCTCTCTCTCTCTCTCTCCCTCTCTCTCTCTGTATCCCTTCATAAAAAAAAATAAAAAAACAAAACCCAATTTCTTTTCTTTACTGTCTTTCTCTCTCTTGGGGGTAGGGGTGGGGGGCTTTGTTTTATATATTTACAGGGGTGTCCTTATTTTCTCTTCACTTTGCTTTGCATGACTTGTTAGCAAACAAACCATCTCTCTTCTTTCTCTTTTCACTACTCTTCTCTTATCTTTCATTACTAAACTTTTGAGTCTCTTCTTTTTCTGTACTGCTTCTCTTCTTGTTGAAGGCCATACTAGTTCAATTCTTTAGGAGTGTTGGGTTCACTTTCGTTTGTTGCATGGATGGATCCTTCAAGCGGACAACACCAGGTATAGATATATATATATATATATATATATATATGATAAAGAAAACCACTTCTTATGTTTAATGATGTAATAAATGCTTTGTGAACTTTACCCTTTTTTTGGTCTTTCCCTTTCTCTTTTCTTTTTTCTTGGTTTTTTTGTTGTCTGAATATTCAAAAAGATGTGATCTTCAGTTTTATGTAATTAGGAGTAATTCTTCTAGTTAGTCGAGAGAAGCAAAGGGATGCAAAAAACAAAAAAAAAAGAAAATTTTGATTGTGGAGCTTTGTGTTTATATATGCGTGTGTGTCAAAATTCTTTTTGAATTCTGATTTGATTTAAATTAGGACAAGCTTTAGTTTTGATTTCTTTCTTTTTTTTGTTAGTTTTGTTTTGATGTCTTGATTAATAAGATAAGATTCTTTCTTCTACATGCTTCGTTTGGGTGTAAGGAACGTATAGAAAAAGGAAAAGAATATACCACAGCTTGGCCCCTGAATTTCTTCTCATTATTCATGTTTTTATTTCCAGGCAATCAATTCTTGCTCAAAGAAAAAAATTTGGAATTGAATGCTCTAAACTTTCTTGTGATGGCCCCACTAATGATACCATTTTCCCATCATGTATGCTTTAATCTGCGCATAGTATATCTCAAGTGTCGGCATACACACAAATGAATATATGTATTAATTAATGAGTGAAGGTTATTAAGAAATCATAGTTAAATATATGTATCTAAGAACATTATTTCTTTCTTGCAATTTGGTCTAATATGTTTCTAACTGTTTCTTTGGGTCGATTAATTCAGGAGATGCCTAACCCTTCATTGGAAAACATGCTGGTTTGCACATCAAGAGGACAGCAAGAGAGAAAGCCAAGGCCTCAACCGGAACAAGCTCTAAAGTGCCCAAGATGTGATTCCACCAACACCAAATTCTGTTACTACAACAATTACAGCCTTTCTCAGCCAAGGTATTTTTGCAAGTCATGCAGGAGGTATTGGACCAAAGGAGGCACACTGAGAAATGTTCCAGTGGGTGGAGGGTGCAGGAAGAACAAAAGATCATCATCTTCGTCATCATCATCAAAGAGGAGCCAAGATCAGCCACTAACACCAAATACAAACCCACTAACCAGCCTCCCACCTTTGAGTTATGACACCAATGACCTCAGTCTGGCCTTTGCTAGGCTCCAGAAACAATCTAGTGGGCAGTTAGGGTTTGATGATCATGACCTTTCTATTCTTGGAAACCCAACTAACACCCAGTGTGATATCCTCGGAAACCCTAACACTAGTTCAGCTGCCAATCCTGTCTTTCTTGATGCACTCAGAAGTGGCTTTCTTGGAACCCATAACCATTTCCAGAATTTCTATTATGGGTTTGGTAATGAGAACATGGGGGAGATGGACAATGGGGGAGGAAGTGTGGTTGTCAGTGGAGAAATGATGCTACCATACAGTGAAGAAATGAGTAATATCGCAGCAACAACAGCTGTGACGGTTACAACAATGAAGCAAGAGTTGTGTAATGGCAGAGAAAGTGAGAATAGAGTGTTATGGGGTTTGCCTTGGCAGCTTAATGGAGATGGTAACAACATGGGCGATCTTGATTCAGGACGTGAAAGCTGGAATGGACTCAATCCAACTTGGCATGGACTTCTTAATAGCCCTTTGATGTAGACAATGGAGTGTTTTCCTTTCTCTTTTTTTTTTTTTCTTTTCTTGGTTCAATGTCTGCAAGAAGCAAACAAAGGCACAGAGTTTTCTTCTCATATCAAAACTGATATTTCAGTTTTTAATCTCTTTTTGAGTTTTCTTGTTAGGAGATTTGAGAATGACCAGCATTTCCCACTTGTTTTTATCTTTTTTTTTTCCCCGTTTTCATTCTATTATTGGTGGATAAACTAATGATATTTCAAATTTGTTTGCTAACCAATTAAGGCACTTGCAGAGGAAAATATATATAATATAATTACCGTTTTGGAGAAAGAATGAATGACTGAGAGTGATGTTTCATGGTTTCTGCAGTCTGAACTCTCTGAAGTATTTAAAGGTAGGTAGTTGCATGACTTTGGGTTTTGAATCAGTTGGTGTTTCCTAGATATTCTATCATGATTGCTTCTTACTTTCAGGTAGATTCTCTAGGAATATATAACACAGCAGATTATTAAATTTGCATTATATAATACTATAATAAATTTGGGTTGATCGGATTATCCCCTCTCCCCCTAAGCATCAAGATTTCAGTGAAACATGAAAGCACTAATCTCGGGATGGATATGTTTTCTTCCCTCACCAGATCACCAAATCTAAGTTAAGATATGGGCGTGAGAGAATTGTCAGAGATTAGCTTAAACATTGTACTAATTTATTGAATGAGGCATTGACATTTGGGACTTAGTAAGAGTGGGATCATGGTTGTCTCCTCCTTCAGTTTGAATATTATTTAGCTATCATCATATGGGCCGTGACATTAGGATTTGGGATTTGAGAAAGTCATCATTTTCAAACACTTTCAATTCAATATTTGCCAGATTATATATATATATATAGATCCTGCCTGCCGTACGCCTGTTTCTACCTTCCTTTCAAAGGACTGTTCTTCTGCCTTATATCATATATATAGTGGGTTAACTTCATTGGGAAACACAGACCTTTATTATCTTATCTTAATGCATAGTGCTGTTTGAGTTTGAAACCTGCAATGAAGTTAGAATCTCAAAATTCTAATGTAAGGTAAGGTAAATAAAACCAAATCATTCAATTTCCAAAGAAGACAAAATCTCTGCAATGGAGAGAAAGTACGTCTGCAGTGTATATATGTAATGCGTCCAACTTTGAGAGAACTGTCCATGTGATTCTTTCAGTCAAGTTTTCGTAATCTTTTTTGTCTTCCATATGGGAGTGTGGACAAAGCCTATCTTTTGAGGTATCTTCCCTTGAAATTGCTTTAGATTTTCGATTTTATTATAATTAATTTAACTAGGGAACACTGGTGTCATCCACTTTGATTATAATATAAACTAATGTTTGTTCAATATCCATTTTGAGCAGCAGTGTTTGACAATATGCTTCTTCCGTTTACAAGAGGGCTGGGGTAAAAAGGGGTAATGGGCAAATGTTTTCTTGTCCCATGAACTTGACCTACTTTAGCTTTTTATGACAACAACAACCCTCATGTTACATTCACACACCAATGCTGTAACAGTGCATATAATTATTATTTGGACTCAGTTTCTTCATGCTGAAGGGATTCCAAACCCCAGCTAAGAAGAAAATAAGGTGGAAAATTGAAGGGAGATTGCGCCATTGCTGTTGATGAAACCCTGGGTCTCCCAGTTTCTATCAAATACTAGTAAGCTCCAAGAAAGGCAACTGCCAAGGTTATATAAAACTATACATGAACATATACTTACCTATACACACATCTTTAATGGATCTCAGTAATAAATATATTTAACTATTAGTAGTCCCACATATGATTCCTAAGGCATAAGATGTTGGCATCAAGTAATTGTTTCCAATAATACTTTCTCTTTTGGGAAGAGAGAGAGAGAGAGAGAGAGTCCATGGAGAAAGAAACTTGTTAGGTCCTGTATTATTTGCCACGAGTAATATTTGGGCTAACAAGGTTTATATTATTCTTGGAATTGGGCTTGACAAATGATCATCAGACTTTGTCTTACTGTGGCCCAAAATAACAAGAGAGTATGTCCTGGACTTCCTGTATCTTGGGCCCCCACATTTCTTTATACACATTTTACCCTCAATCTGGATTCTTGATTATTTATTTGATTGAACAAAAATTATTTAAAAATTATACTACAAGTTAAAGATGAACTTGATTAAGATTTTGATTTTTGAAAAAGAGAATTTTATGCTTGAAGGGTTGATATGTATCTCATTAAGTATATTTATTAAAAATAATAAATTAATTATTAAATGAACATTTAGCAATCATTAAAATCTATGGCGATATATAAAATAATAATAATAATAATAATAATAATCTGAAAAGAAAAAATATAAAAAGAATTGTATTTACATCCTATTTCTGACAAATTTTGGAAGACATCCTGTAATCTGGGGTCCCTATTTGAGATAAAGACAAGATAGAGATTTAGACACAATTTGTGTCAGACATGCACACTCAAATCCATGTAACTAATTTGTAGTATCCCAAGAACTGGTGTTTCTTAGTATCCCAAGAACTAGTCTTCTACTTCTCCTTGAATAGGTCCCAAAGAAGAACATCTAATAAAATCTACCACCAATCAATATCTCCAAAACCAGCAATCACCACCGCATTTTGTGTAGCAACACGACTAGATACCAGTAGGAAGAAACTTGGTTTTTTTTTTTTTTTCACATTTAACCAATGTCCAAAAAATAAAGAGAAGAAGAAATACATCCAATGAACTCGAAAAAGAAGCAAGTGGGTTCAATCCCAGAACTCATGGTCTAACCTGCAAAAAGAGGTGTTGGTCTGGGCAACGAATAGATAAACCAGAGACAAACACCATCTCAAATCCCAAGATTTGCATGCGACCAAAATATATGATTTACATGTGGGCTCCATAGCAATATGTAGCACTACAACTTACTGAATATTGTTGCAAGTTTCCTGACAGGAGAGCACAAGGTAAGAAAATTGATAATTTATGTTAGCATTTAGCAGGTAATGAGTTATGGGCATATTAAGCAGGCAGCTTAACAGAAATAACTATGGAATCCATATCTAAAACCACCACAACTTGCATTGTCAAGAGTTAATAAGTTTGATCCTGTAAGCACAAGGTGATGACACCCGCATTTTACATATCCACAGAAAAGAAAAGAAGAAAGAAAGAAAGAAAATCTGCTATCAGCAGTGTTCTGCCATCATAATTTAACTACCAAGCTTCAAAAGAGTGCTCATTGTGAACTTCACAGCAAAAAGACTCTGCTGCTCCCAGTATCCCAAGTATCTGTCCAAGTAAGGGGAGATAACTCAGTTAGATAAATACGGTATGATACAAAGCATAATAAAGTCTATGCAATTTTGGCAAAAATATTTAGCATGCCTCATGGTGTTCTATTTCTGTGGCTTCTTCCACAAGACCCCAATCTTCTTTAGCATGTTCCCATTTTTCTTCTTCAGCAAATCATCATCCATATCTTCAGCATAAGGTGAGCTAACCTTTCCCGTAACTGGATTATAATGGCTATCCAGTGAACCAGTTCTCTCCATAAACTTCCCATTATGACCTGCTGAAAGCATTGCAGCAGCTGCTTCCGCAGCCTTGCGCCACTGGTCAGATTGCACCTTTAACCTTCTCAACTCTGCCTCAATTTCAGAATTGGCATTCTGTGCAGCCTCAAGCTGTTCTGCCACCCTGGCAGCTCTCCTGTTATTCTTATCAGCCTCCTCCATTGCAAGCCCAAGCTTAATACTAGCCTCTCGCTCTGCAGCCCTTGCCAACTCTAGCTCAGTAGCCACCTTATCATTTGTTTTACCTTTGTCCATTTCCCTTTTACTGATTTCCAACCTGAGCGTCTCATTCTCCTCTGATATATTTTGAAGTTCCGTCTCCTTATCCATCATATTTGCCTTCAGATCAACAACAGCTTCCTTCAAAACCTTTAGCTCATTTTCAAGTTTCGATTCTCGCTGGCATGACAGGTTTTTCTCAAGCTTCACGTGAAGCTCTTCATTTTCCTCTGAAATACCCTGCAACTCAGTTTCCTTATCCATCAGATTTGCCTTCAAGTCAGCAATATCAGAGTTTGCTTTCTCTAGCTCAGCTAACAGCTCAGCCTCTCTCGAGCTTGCTTCAGATTTTATCTGCTGCACAAGTTCATGAGCACTCTTTATCTGTACAGTGCTTCGGATTTGTTCTTCATGGAATTTAATCTCAGCAGTTTCAAAAGCAGATCTTAACCATCCCACCTCAGACTTTAAAGAAGAAATCTCTGCTTCAGGCTGGTGTGAATCCTCAGGTTTCTCACTTTCTCCAGCTTGATTCTCAATGACAATATGATCACTGTCAGACTCGAGAGAGAGGTTGCCACTACCATCAGTTAGATCTAACTTAAGTTTCTTAACAAGTCCTTCCAGTGAATAAACACGTTGCCTTGACTGGTCTAAGTCTGAAGCAATGGAGTTGTAAGCTTCAACAGCCTTCATGCTTTCCGACCTAAGTGTCTCAACAGTCCTTTTTGCAGCTTCTAGTTGTAGCAGAGTTTCGCTAGCCAAGGCTTGGGCCTTAGCTTCCGATTCTTGGCTATCCTTTAGCTGGGTTTTCATGTTGGCTACAAGAGAAAGAGTTTCTACCAGGTTTCCTTTCAGGCTCTGGAGCTCCAAATGTGCTGATTCTGCTTGCTTGGTCTGTGCAGCCTCAGATTCAGCCACCATTTCAAGCTGATCCTTAAGTTGCTGAATCTCATTCACAGCAGAGACCAGAGCAGCTGAGTCCAGAGACTGCTGCCTCTGGACAGCTTCAAGCTCTGACTGCCATGCTTGATCCCGTTCCTGTGAGATCTTTTGGAGCTCAACAACACGAGGTTCCTCTGAAGCAGAAAGCTCAAGAAGCTGCTTTTGGGACTCTTCAAGCTTTGCATACACGGCCAACAGTTCCTTCTTGGACTCCTCGGCATCTTGCTGAGCTTGCTTCTTGCATGATTCAGATGAACTTAGTTGATCCTTTGCCTTCTTTAGTTCTTCTTGAAACTGTGAAATCTGTATCTCCAATTCAGATATTCTGCTTGGGCGCTTCTTCTGAAGCAACAACAGAGGATAAGATTAGTTATTCTCATAGGAGTCAAAAAGCACCATTGTTATAAGTGCTAAATTCTA